ATGCTTGTGAAGGGTGCCTAAAAGGAAAGCAAAATGCCACGAGAAGCGTTGAATAGCGGGGTATATTGGGAAGTGTGATGACCTGCGTTGTGGGTTTCTAGGCTAAACCTCAACTGCAATGTTACACCTGCTCAAACGAAGGTGGCAAAGCATGCCCATTAATTGATGGATAGCTGGACAGCCCTTAACTAGCGCAAGTACGCTCACGTGATAGGCAGGGCCACCTCGCCTGGTTTCACAGACCAGGGCAGCCTGTGCACTCACACACATCTGTCCCTCTCTATTCCTTGTTCGTCGGCATTTCTTCCATGATGGAGTCGCTTATGCAGGAGCGTCTGGATTCCTTATATACTCTTTGTCATAAAGGGTATGTGTTCCTAAGAGACGCTATCTCCCCAAAGGATACAGCACTGGCAGGGCTTTTTGATAATGAGCGGTCGAGATTTCATGAATGGGGAAGAAGCGCAAAGATATACCTGGCGCCCCAGACTCCGGTACGAACTGGTAACCTGGAGTACCGCGGGATCCGGCGATCGATATTGAAACTCCTGAAGCAAGTGGCTCTGGGGCTGGAGAACCAGATGCAAGCCACCGCAGAGCACAAGCCCTTGAGAGAAATTGTTCTATCGCCAGAGGCCGCCATGAATATGTTCGTATCTCCCTCTTTCCGGGTCACTAAAAGTTGCTGGACGCGACACAAGCAAACGGAGTTACGAGCCCTGGTTTCAGAACTGGCTGCGTACAACGAAGATCTCCTGAGACTGTTACGACGTAACCAGGATATGGAGATTGCTCAGAAGCTCATCCTAGATGTTCTCGATGCCGCAACCCATACGTTTAGACCGGGAAACCCTAAGGCTGCGAGTATAATCGAGCTGCGTGAGATAAACGAACGCAATATCTGCGAAGAAACGCTGGAATCCGAGACAGGCTCTATCGAAAATACTATAGCCTCTTCATCATCAAACCCTCCGCCCGCGGCAGTTGAAAAGAACTTGGAGATCCCCATATCCTCTTTCCAAAGCTTTGAGACGCCAAAGATCCCCCGAGTGGTTATTGATCGTACATCGCCTGAGAGCAACATTGCAAGGTCTCCGCTTACCCGGTATCGTTATGTTTACAATTCAGAGAAGTCCTGGAGTGAAGAACTTGTCTTTGTAGAATGGCGGTTGCGCAAGCACGGTGTCCGGAACACATTTGACGAAGAAGCCCAAGCGCAGCGATACAGTTGCTTCGTTCGACTTCTACAAAGGACTTCTAGGATTGACCCTGGACTCTGCACGCTACCCTGTTTGGGCTATAGTTTGGCGACAGGACAGCTGCCTGATGGTAAAAAGTGCCCTATTGTGGGATATGTTTTCAAATTCCCAAAACACACCAATAGTACGGCCCGGATATTGACACTCGATGACAAGATCGCGTCCTGCCCCGGAATCCTCGCTTCACCAAGTCCAAACTTAGAGAGCCGCTTTCGTCTTTCACAAAAACTCGCCCTTGCACTGTTACAGCTGCACATTGCTGGGTGGAAGCACAGGCAGCTTTCCGGTAGCAACATCATCTTTTTCCGAAATGAGGGAGATCAATGGGAAGACCTGAGCAAACCGTACATTAGCGCCTGGCAGTGCCTTTCGGATGACTACAGAATGCAGGGCGAAAATACGGACATTGATATGAAGTCAATTCGATTTTGGAAAGGCGAAGATCTGAAAGGTCTTGCAGTCATATTGATGCAGATTGGACTTTGGGAACATCCTTGCAACGCATACCACAGACTTTCGAAATCAAATTTACCCAGTCTGTCCATGGAATACCGCGGTCCTTTCTCACTACAACGTGTACAGTCTCTGTATAGAGTCCTTGGGGCGCAACTTAGAGCGAAAATGGGCAGCCATTATGCCAAGTCTGTGAAGGAGTGCTCACAAGGCCCATATCTTGCATCGTCAACCGCTAGCCTTGAGGAGCATCTTTTCAATGAAGTGATGCAAGGTTTGTACAAATCTGTGAATAACTAGGACCTGATTCTTCGTGCTCTTTCTTGCTTTATACTAGAATATCATCAAAAATACATACTTATTTCTACCACGCCTTGATCATCCGTGAGAGCTTCGCGTCAGTATAATTCCAGACTCAATCGACTGGCTAGAGAGGAAATATATTATAGTTCCATAGGTTCTTAGAAGGGCCTAAAAACTATGTTCACATCAGGTGGATCTAAATGTGTGGAGCCAAGGCTCAACAACGAGTATGCCCGGCGCCATTACCATAGAATATTCCCAACTATACTGATGAGTAGTGCACGTTGGTATTGTGTAGGTCGTGTGCTGCTTTCATCACACTTTAATCAGTTGGCATGATCGTCATCAATTACAATTCCATTCATTCATTTCGATGCTATCTAGTTGTGTTCAACTACGTGAAACTGCAATTAGGGGCGCTCTTTTGAATATATATTGTTGTTCCTCGTTGATATATGAAATCAAAAGCACCTATCTACTTTAACCTTGCCGGCAGTAATCCCGCAGCATTGTTAATCGACTTCTACGCCGCATTTTTCTGTGTGGGTATGAATTCCACTACACTCTCTAGGTGCGCCGGCGTAGCGGCTTGTGATTTTTGTCTAGATAATATCCGTTCATTTACATGACCGGTAGCCGTCAAAAGCTTGACATCGATTCTCACAGGCTCAGAGGGATTCTGCAGGATGTAGCAGATAAGTATGAGTATTGCCGACATGGGGTAGAAGGGTAATGCCCTATCATGATTTTAGTTGCAAGTTACGTTACGTATGTGGTTGGCGAAATATGCTATGTTTATAATGAAGAAATCAAAGTTGATTTTGAGGAAGGCTTGAGCCTGCAATTAGTTTTGCTTGCCAGTCTAGGTGCTCGGAACATTGATGTTAGCCCATTGGCTTTAGTTGAATATTTAGGAACTTCATAAGCCCAGAATGACCCACCTTATGATCAGAGCTAGGGTCTATCCGAACATGATCGCCCGGATTGACTCGGCGATGGACACGCTTTGAAGATTGACTCCTGACCAGAAACGTCACTTTATGGCACTGTATACGGCTTTAGCAATATACATATGAAGTAATATGATCGAAGGCAATAGATTAACTCAACCTATGGACATAGTCGCAACGTCCAGACCACTCCTTGAGCCTGTTCGGAGCTTAACTCGGAACCTCATGAAATCATAGTTCCGCTGAGTCATTTGCAGATGTCATTCAAGGTAGTTAATTGGTTGATTTGCCGGATACTCCTTATTTACCAGACAAATATCCGCTGACTCATTAATCTCCGCCCAGGAGCCCAAATCGACAGACAATCTTTAAAGCCAAGAAGGCCCAAATATGGCCAGTACCAATTGGGATGGGTTTTAAAGCCCTTAACCCCTTATAATCAAAAAGGGAAAATAGTCCGATCATGCAATTCGGATTCTAGAAAATGCCGAATGCGAATATGGATACAGCTCAAGGCTATAACAGCGCGCACCTCCGCGTGGGCAGCTCGTCTTCTCGATTCACATGATCTCCATATAAGCGACGCTCTTTATCTTGTTTATCTTCATTGATCGTCGAAACTCACTTCCTGTATGTGCAAGTAATTCAAGTTGCCCAACATATCAGGAAGCAGTACAATGCAGTTTCCAAAACAGATGCTAGGTCCCCTAGCAGGGGCTTTCGTCTCCCTCCAGGTCCTATTCCTCGCCAACATGTGCTATCTGTATGGCACTGCATTTCAAGACGGCACGCGGTTCAGTGCAATGAAAGTTCTTTATGTCGACTTTGACCAGGGCATTATCGGCCAATCCGTGCTGAAAGCCTACGACCTTGTCAAAAGCCCAGCCTTTCCCACCATCGAACAACATTCCATAGTAGAGTATCCTACCGAGGACTCCTTGAAGCGTGCAGTATGCAAAGAAGGGTACTGGGGAGCTATATATGCTAAAAACAATGCTTCTTTGCGTCTATCAACGGCCATCGCCTCCCCAGCTGCAGCAGAAAACTACAATAATGCCGACGCCTTGGGATATGTCTGGAACAGCGCCAAATATGCTGCCTATGCGCAGACAATCCACGCAAGCCTTACCGAACTGGTCCAGGTAACCGGCAACGTCTACAGCCAAGCAAACGAAACATCCATTTTCGCCACAGCCAATGTCTTCAACCCTTCAATTGCGTCAACCCTTCTACAACCTATAGCCAGCACGGAAACCGACCTCCTCCCCACCGACCAGGGAACTCCCTTCTACTACAATACCGTATCGATGGTTATGCCGATCCTTCAACAATTCTTCTTCCTCATGGCTATCAATGGAATCTCAATGAAATTCAATCTTTTCGCTGTCTCACTCACTCAGCTGGTTAGCTTCCGTGCCCTTGTCGCTTCAGTGTACACGTTCATCAGTGCTCTCGCAATGTCTGGATATATATGGGCCTTTCGCGAAGGGTGGGACGTCCACTCCTCGCAGTTTGGATTGACTTGGATGACTATCTGGCTTGCAATGCAAGTTCACTACTTGCTCCTTGAGTTTGTCACCACGTTTGTGCCGATGCAGTTCATCCCCTTCGCTATCTTGACTTGGATTATCCTGAATGTCTCGAGCACGCTTAGCCCCTTTGAGCTATCGCCGGGTTTCTATCGCTGGGGATATGCTCTGCCTGGTAGGGAGCTCTATGATACGCTCCTTCAGGTCTGGACGCGAGGATGTAACCCTTACTTGGGAAGAAGCTTGCCTATACTCTGGTCTTGGTGGATTGTGGGTGTTGTGGGGTTTGCGGTTGCTCTGAGGTATCGTCATCAGACAGCGATGAAGGCCGGAGTTCAGATTATAGAGGATGAAAAGTCCGAGGGGCCCAGGGCGTGACTGGTATAACCTTTGAAATCGTTGGCGTTGAAATCATGTGTATTCATTAATTTTGTAGTTGACTCGATAAGAATGTCAATCCTCTAGTAATAAACACATCACAGGAAAGCTATCCGATACACATGTCTTTACAGTTTACTTCCCATTCCAACGTCTCGATCTACTGCATCTCGCTGGTCTGCGGCTGGCAAGCTAGGGACCGGCAGATTCAACTCGATCGCAATTGCCTTTGCAGCCCAGAAGCCCGTCACAAAGGCAAGAGCCAAGCCGCCCGCATATCCGAGGTTACTGAACCCTCCTCCATCAACCCCAGCAACTAACAGCCCTGGGATGGGATTTCCATCGGTCGTCAACGCGCGGCCCCTAGGGTCGATTCTAATGCCACCGTACGTGAATGTAATTCTGCATGATCAGTCATATGCACAGTTTGATCGAAGAAGGGATACGTACGATGGCTGCACTTCCATACAAAAGAAGGGTCCGTCGCCCTCTACTAAGGGGACTGGAGGTTTTCCGCCTGCCCCGACAGGGGCATCTAACGCCACAGTCGAGTTACCTAGCCGGATGACCTGATCATATTGTTCAATTGTCCTTCGAGCCTGTGTCTCGTTTACTCCCCATTCTTTGAGTATGTCGACCAGCCCGTTGATGCTCGGCGCACTACCGACACGGCAGCCGTGTTCCTGAGCTTTGGCTAGACGATCGATCTCACCCGCGTTGGGGAACGGTGCGGAGATGCAGTGCTGGGTCCGAGTGCGATCGCTGCGTTGTCAGGCATATACTTCGAGGAACATCATGGGGAACATACTTGAAGAGAAGAAATCCTCGCCGTTTCTCTTGCTTCGCGAGATACTGATTGATAATCTCGTCGCCGGTCGTCTCATCCGCGAATCTCCGGCCGCTCTCGTTGATAAGCAGGCAATGTTTGCTTTCTAGGTGATAATTAGCAACATGTATGGAGAGATCTTCTGCCACTTACGATATTGTGCCAACGGCAAATAATCCCGTGGGTCGACCTTCTCGGCCTGCAGAGGCGCCGCGAGTAAATGACCATAGAAGGTGCCCATCCCACGACTGCTACCTGCACCTACTTGTGTTCCTAGGATCAAACCGTCTCCCACCGATCCCTTGTTGGATCGCACAAACATGTCGTCTGCATGTTGGCCCATATGCATAGACAGTAGCCTGGGGTTACCTTGAAATCCCCCAGTGGCTAGAACAACCCGCTTTGCTCGAACTTCGTAGTGTGCACCATCCGCGCGACGAATAACCGCCCCAATAACGCGCGATCCAGGGACTCCCGGAACTTCCTGCAGGAGCTTCACCACCGCGGTATTGGTGAATATTTGTGAGCCGGTATTGCTATCTCTGATGCGCTGCTGATGATATGCATGGAGATGAGGGATATTGATTGGGAAACCGATGCCTGTACCTCGTGTCAATTACTTGTCGCTGTAACGAGAAGAATGACATACCAATTGTCATAATACCATCAAATCTCTGCGCCACTGGGACACCATTTTCACGCATCCATTGTACGGCCGGGAGGTAGTCTTGCATCCAGGCGGCTTGGAGATCGGCATTTCCCCATGGTACCCATGAGCGCAGACTTGAGTAGGACTTGGGACCCCAGCTGCACCAACGCAATCAGTACGTGTCCCCTTTATTGATAGGTGCTAACTTCAACATACAACATCCCTGCGGAGTAATTGGATGACCCGCCCACGGTGGACTGCTTCTCTACAACGAGAACTTTAGCCCCAGAGGACGCGGCAAAAGAGGCACAGGCAAGGCCTGACATGCCCCCACCACAGATGAGGGCATCAACGGTAATTGTTTGCATTATGTGATAATCAAGCTATGGAAAAGAGGTATGTGTGCAGTGATGTCTGAAGACGAGCGCCGGGTATATAACCACCCTCCGGTGGCTAAATTAAGTGGCCGGAGGACCCACCTTGGCATCTTGTGCCTGAACGAGCATGACAAGACCGGGTTATAGGGAAAGGCCATTCGGTCAGGCTGATAGCAAATTCATGTATACGAACTCTAACCAGCTTCTTTCAGTCCATGCCCCATGCTGAATGGAAAGTGGCGAAACCGGCCATGGTAGGGTTGTCCGAATACCGTGATTCCCCGCATTTCTCTAGAATTTCTCGGTAATTCGGGTAATTTTCCTGCGACTACCTAGAAGCTCTCATCCCATGATTCTTTGACTATGGCCCCAAGCACTCGTTCAAGTCAAGCTAGGAAAATCTCCAGGCCCTCTGCAGCCGCATGCGAAGTATGTCGTCACCTGAAGATGCGCTGTATCCGGCCCGATCTATCGGAGCCATGCGACCGCTGTCGACGCAACAATCGTCGCTGCAACATCCCCCCTCCCCGTCCTTTGGGTCGTAGGCCTGGTGCTGTTGGTCGCTATAATGGGTTCGAGAAGTCTTATCGAAAGATGCAAGCTCAGCTCAAGAAAGCACCGGTATCAGCTGATGAGGTACAACAGGTGTTGAATACCACGGGCCAAGAGGAATTACTTCAAGTCATCGTGGCGAAGCTGCAGCATGGTAGCGACGGTAAAAGGCCAGTGCCAACCACAGACGGTGCAATGAGAAGCTACCATGATGGCTTACCAACTCCAAAGGAGCCAGTTAGCAATCCACTCGCACTCCTGGCGGACGCATCTAGCGCAGCACAGCCATTGACGCCGTCGCTGGATCTACCATGTACTACAAGTGGAGGCCCGGTGCTCCTCCAGCACTCAGTCTACGCGTCCCTAGGTCTGCAGCTAAGTCGACACACATTGGAAGAGGGCCTCAGTGCCATTTACGATACCACACTACCCATCCTGTCCCAATCAAATTATTTTCGACCTCCTGATGCGGATCCATCTCGAGATGTCGGCCCAGATCTGGATCCTATTGAGCTGGGGCTATTATCGTTAGAGGATGCGCAAAATTTGTTTTCAATGTATGTGCATTACTTTCTAACAATTATCTTGCTAATGAAATACTAGCTATTTCGTCCGCTTACACCCCATCAACGGCATTCTTGACCCAATTCTTCACACCGTCGACTATGTGCGCTCTCGCTCCGCTCTTCTCTTCACATGGATTCTGGCCATTACGGCTCAATTCGATCACCAGTCTGCATCGTACGCCAAACGCCTGCGCCTTCACGGCGAGACCCTCTCGCGACATGTCCACACATCTGGGTACAAGTCAGTCGAAATCGTCCAAGGATACTACATTTCGCTCCTCTCTGCTACCCCTGCCCCGACATTGTCTGAGGAACGCTCATGGCTCTACACCTCCTACGCCGTCGCCGTCGCCACTGAGCTAGGCTTAGACCAGGTTAGTCCTTCGAACACTCTTGCCTCCGACTCGATCATGTCCCAGCAACAGGCGCGTAATCACGAACGCACTTGGCTGCGCATCCTCCTGTGGGAACGCGCTACCAGCGCCGCTTACGGGCGAGCAACTGCCTTTCCCGAGTCCCCCCTTACCCGGAATATTCAGAACTGGTGGCTGCACCCTCTTGCCGATTCTACCGACAAGGACACATGTGCCTTTATTCTCCTCCGTCGACATCTAGCAGACCTTCATCATATCCTGCACCAGCAAGCCTCTTTCACCCACGACAACCCCCACTGGGTCCGCGATCTCATGGACTCTATTCTAGACCCGTGGCGAATTACCTGGCTTCCTGGGTGTACTTCAAAAGCTGTCACCCCCTCTCTCAACATATCCACAGCCTTCCTCACGTACGTATATCTACATAACCGTCTCTGGATGCTCTCTTTCGCCCTGAATACCTCAACTATCCACTCCCACGCCCTCCAAGAAGACTGCTTTACAGCCGCGGTTCAATGTTGTACCCTCGCTGTCCACGATCTCCAATCGATTGGTGAACCTCTGTACTGTCTTCTCTCCCCATCTTGGGCGATGATCGCCTACGCCGCCGCTCTCGCCCTCAGACTCTTCCCCACCTTGTATGATACCCATGCCGACGATGAGGGCGAGTTGCTAGGGCTGCTAGGGCAGGTAGCCCTGCAGCTAGAGAAGGCTGGAAGCACCCCGTCTCATAGAATTGGAATTGCGTCCGTGCTCGGGAGGCATTTGCTTAGTGTCTTACGGGCCAAAGTTGGGACGGGGATGGGGCCTGGCGTTGTTGCGGATAGCGGGCTGCACTTTTCATCCGAATCAGGTCTGGTGGGGAGCAGCTGCGATCCGGTCTTGGGATCTGTTGCGATGGGACTGGATGAAGGGTTTGCGGATGTGTTTCGGGAGGTGTTCGGTCCGGGGTGGGGGCTGGGGATGGAATGAGATTGGAATGTTGATCAGTAGATGCCCTGGAGAGAGTCTCACCGAGGTAGCAGGGGTGATCACGATGCATCAAGAACGAGAGGAAGGCGCACTTCACAATCAATTTCATTCATGGCAAGCAGTAGCTCCAGGACGGCGAAATCACCACCTGAAATAGGTACATTAACGCAGTCTTTATTTGTACGCTGGTCGGCATCTGCAATCCCGCTAGCATACATATGCTTGGCTGTCACCGTCTTGTTGTGAGATGTTTTCCCTCTTGTCTTGTCTTGGCGCATTTGTCTGCTTTTTTTATTTCTTCTCCTTCCCAGAGGATGGGGCAAGGGCGACCTATAAAGACTCCAAATACTCAGACGATTTTCTTTCCCCCCTTGGTTACTTTCTACTTACTCTGTCTCTTTGCTTTTTTTCATATGCTTTTTTTCAAAGATATCTTGTAGCAATTGTATTACTCATAAAATTGATATGCGGGATGATCGGCCTTCCCGAGCTGACCGCATTGTTGCCGTTTCCGGTTAGCACCTTGGGATAGCTTCCTCTTTCGACAGCCAGAAATTCTATATTTAAAAAGCATGTTTCTCCTTGAAAGCTCAACCTACAAAGTAACAAGCTATTCTAGTCAACTCAGAATATGCTATACTGACATCTATATCCCTCAAGTCTCACCTTCCACTACAAGCCATCTCCTCTTCTTCCAATAGCACACAAACCATGACAACCAACCCATTTTACTAGATTAAGTCCGAGGACTGGCACACAGCCGGCGAGCCATTCCGCATCATCCCCGAAGTTCCATCAGGGTACATGCCTACAGGTAGAACCGTCTCTGACCGGCGCAAACAGATCATCCAGACCGAGAACCACCCGTTGGATAGGCTCCGCAAATTTCTGAGTCATGAACCCCGAGGGCATGCTGACATGTACGGGGGATTTATCACCCCGCCAGACGACTTGGGTGCGCACTTCGGTGTATTGTTCTGGCATACGAGCGGATTCTCAACGGCGTGTGGTCATGGTACCATTGCCCTAGGGTCCTGGGCTGTGTCGACAGGTCTTGTCGAGGCTCCAGAGAATGGAGTTGTGGAGGTGATGATTGATGTTCCGTCTGGTCGTGTGGCAGCGCATGTTACTATGAAAGATGGAGAGCCAGCACAGGCTTACTTTATGAATATCGCCAGCTTTCCGATAGAGAAGGGACTATCTGTGAAGATCCCTTCTCGTAATGAGGAGATCCGTGTTGACTTGGCTTTTGCCGGTGCTGTTATGGCTTCAGTGAGTGCTGCTGAATTGGGTCTTGAGGTCAAGCCGGGCAATGCGGATGCATTCATCAAACTTCAGCGAGAGATAAAAGCAGCACTTGGTGATAGGGCAACCAATCTCGATTATGAGTTGTACGCAGTTATCTTTTTCGAGGACGAAAGGAACCATCCCGATTACCGGAAGACAATTGTCCAGAGGAATGTTACTGTCTATGGTGATGGTCAGATTGATCGGTCCCCTTGTGGTTCTGGCACTTGTGCGAGAATTGCCCTCCTATCTTCGGATGGTCGGTTTCGAAAGAACCAGAAGCTATTACATCACTCCATTATCGGGTCGGCTTTTGAAGCCGAGATAGAGTCCCGGGGGGGGGTTCCCATGGGGGCTTTGATTCCTGTAATGTGCTCGTGAAGGGCCAGACACATCTGGTTGCGCAGTCGCGGTTCTTGATTGACGAGGAAGATCCCCTTTCTCCAGGATTCATCTTGCGTTAGTTGATGAAAATCTGTTTTGAGAGGTTGCATGTGGGCCATTTACACTGAACTGTATGGAATATGCCTGTTGTAAATCAAGATTGCTAGCATAATTAGGCCCTTGATCTAATTCCAAGAGCAAACTCAAATATGAAAAATTTGGTTCGAGTGTTTGACAGAAATTATTACTCATATTGCCAGATGATGTTTCCAGCCCAGTGCTACTAGATTCATTTACATCTGCCCCCAACGCTTAGTTCTGTTTCCACCCGCAGCTCGGGCCAAGAGTCGGATCCTGCGGGGCGGGGCTCACGTCAGCTAGACGCCCATCGCTGACTGCAACCATTATTTTTGTTTACATGCCCAATGTGTAGTAGCTTAGATGTGCAATATATGCTACATCTTCTGGTACGCTTCTACACTAAGACCTCCCATCGTTGCAACAGACCATGGATGCCCTGGAACAAGAAGCACCTCTCTGCACAAGGTGCCGCACTATTGACTTCGATGCAATATTCCAACTCAGCAACGATGTCCGAGATGCAAGGTTCGAAGGTCTGCCAATCATATCACTGGGTAGTAACATTTCCGACCCAAACACGCCTTGTCCGATGTGCGATCTCTTCGACAAAGTCAAGTTCGACCTCGACGTATCAGCTCGTCAATCAACATGGGATACCAGTCAATATCATTTACGTGCATTCAGCAGCCTCATAAAAGAAGTAGGTGTTACGACAGAAATGCCAACAGAACCTAACCGGCGAGATATCATCAAGCAAATTCGCAGGGGGGATGAGTATATGAGTGATGAGTCAAACAGTTTGTTTCTCGCAGTGTTTCCGGGAAGCGGGGATGATGTCTTCATCACCAGTGAAATCAGGATCCTTGATATCTGCAGCCATCTGGAACAAAGCGTCATTATGCCGGTGGAGGGGTCTAATGTTGCCAACATACGGACTCACGGGGTCCGAGTGTTGCCGAATCGGATCGATTACACTCGTCTGAAGGAGTGGATGGAGAGCTGCCAGAGTCATCATGGGCCTCGATGTACTTGCTCACCTACTCCTCCGCCTTTCGTATTAAAGGTGATCGATTGCCAGACCCGGCAAATTGTCCCACTTCAGCCAGGTTGGGCGTATTTCGCGCTCAGCTACGTATGGGGACAACTGTCACCAGAGGATGCAGCTGTCCAAATACCAAGCCATAAGGCTTTGCTTTCGGACGAAGTACATGGCACTATCAAAGATGCCATCAGAGTCGTCAACAACCTCGGAGGTAGGTATCTCTGGGTCGACAAATACTGCATCAACCAGGACAACGCACAAGAAAAGCACGATCAAATATCTCGCATGGATCTGATATACTCCGGTTCCTATGCTACTATAATCGCAGCTGGTTCTGATATTTCGATTTCCGGGTTACCTGGCGTTGGTGCGGTTCCACGACGGCGCCAACCACAAGCAGCCTCACCGACAGCCTCTGGGACATATTTGAGACTGGTGTCTACGCTGCCTTCTATACGACGTGCTTTAGCCTCCAGTCCATGGATATCTCGTGGCTGGACCTTTCAGGAAGTAATTCTCTCGCGTCGATGTCTGTTCTTCACCGACTTTCAGGTTTACTATATGTGCGGAGAGACCACAAATTGCGAGTCGACCGTGCTCTCCCCTGTTCCTTTGTCACTCATGGCCACGGCCCAAACAGCCACAAAACCTGCCCGCGACGACATCCTTGATTCTTCTCGGTTCACCTATCAAATATGCCAACATCCAGCATACTATTCCAGTAGGCCATATCGACCATGGGCCTTCCGTACACACCTATCACACTACTCAAGTCGAAGCCTCTCCTACAACTCCGATGCTATCAACGCCTTTCGAGGCATCCTCGCTCGCTCCGATCATCCAACCTTCTACGGTATTCCGTTCTTGTTTGACGGAGAAACTCCCTATAATCTAGCGCGCGATCCAAATCTCCGTTTCGTCTGCGCACTGTCCTGGGAGCCTATTTACCAACCTCCTTGCAAAGATGATTGCAGTGCAAATGGCGAAGATGGACACTTAACACGGAGAAAAGAATTCCCCAGCTGGTCCTGGGCCGGCTGGATAGGTCAGGTCTCATATCACTACTTTCTCTGGAACAGGAGATTCGGCTGTGCAGAGGATGATCTTCTCCCACAGGAGCTGGATGGGCATCAGCCTGTTCGCATATGGATTTGCTTCAACCTTCGTCAGAGTATTGACCATATCTCCATAGGGGATATCTCAATAGAAGAATTCTTCGTCAACCACAACAGCGCTCTTTGGGGGAATATCTTGCCTGAATTCTCGCCCTTTCTGCAGATTGAATGTACCGTCCTCCATTGCCTCCAGATAAAGCTCTTTAGTATTCCCTCTGGGACTACTTCTGTTCCCGCAGTCAGAATCGTTATAGGGGATGGGTATTCCCGTGCTCCGGTGCTGTTCTGCGGGCCACTTCCTTGTTCAAGTGAGGATGGGGTGATAGAGGAGGAATATACGGGGCTGGTGCTCTTCGAAAGAAAGCATAGCATTGCCCTATGCACGCCGTGGGATCATATCGGGATTTTTGTTCTTCTTGTGAAGGAAGTTCAGGGTGGGAGAGAGGGGCACCATGAGCGTGTGGGATCTGCATGGTTGGATCGAGCGGAATTAGGAAAACTGGGTGGTGATGGTACTACGAATATGAGGAGAGAGACGATTTCATTATCTTGACCTTGTTCAAGATATGTACTTTGGTCATCAGTGACCCTGTCAACAGGAAGCAAAGCATAGACCGGACACGCTAGTCGAAGATGCCACCTACATAGAATGGCAGTATTTTCTCTGGCGCTATTTGAGATGTCGTGAGGCCCCCGCAGGATGTAGCTGAGAACTCTAGTGTCGCATGCAACGAAGGAGCGCTCATCGCCAAGTATCCCACATCTCTTATTCTGTAGGTAAACAGCCCTGCCTCGAGTATCGGAGACAACATGCGAATCACTCGTCTCTTCCAACATTAATGTCCGACAATCTCGAAACTTCACAGGTCGTGGCGTCTTAAGAAGTATTTCGGCCCTCTCGCATCTCCTTTCCACTCAATGTTGACATCCACCACCAACACATAAACTAATGCGATTGGCATTCGGTATGATTGGGTGACAGCGTGAGCCATAGCGCCGAGGCGGGGAAGCTAGTATAGAGTACAAGGCTGCGATGTGTTGTTCTAGCATTCACAGTGGTTGATTGGCTGACACTCTAGGCGTACGCGCCCGTGCGCAAGGGGTCGATATGAGCGAGGCTGATGCCTAATAACAGCTTCGGCTGCCGTTTTGGAACTCTTATTAGCTCGACCAGGTCTTGCGTTCCATCATAGATGGATATCTTCCCACACTCTTTGTGACCAAGGTGCACGACCAAAATCAGCTATGCCTCCCAGGCTTGATCCTAGCGTTTACACTGTGGGCTGGGTCTGCGCTATCAAAGACGAGGTCACTGCTTCTCGAGCCTTCCTTGATGAGGAACATGAACAGCCTCGTAGACGGCAGAATGATAACAATGTTTATATCGTTGGCCGAATGGGGGAACACAAAGTGGTCATCGCATTCCCTGGAGCGGGCTCGTACGGTGCCGATGCCATTGCCCATACTAGGGCTAACATGGTTAGGACATTTCGGAATATCCGATTCGGTCTGATGGTCGGGATAGGCGGAGCGGCACCTTCAGCACCCGATTCTAAGGACCCATTGAATGACATTCGGTTAGGAGATGTTGTTGTTAGTGAGCCGAAGGGAAACTACAGTAAGCTCCTTTGTGGTCCCCATGTGCCCGTTTTTGGCTTGTTGTTTTTTTCCCAGCTTCTCACGATAATCAAGGCGGAGTATTGCAGTATGACAAAGGCCGCTGGAAGGATGATGGGTTCGAAATCAGATCGCACATGAATAAACCACCGAAGCTTCTACTGGCTGCGATGAAGCTGCTGCAGTCTGATCATGACATTGGCCGGGGAAAGATGACAGCCTTCATTGATGACATTAGACACAAGTCCAGCCAATTACTATCATGGGGTTTTCGCTTCCCAGGCCGAGAGCTCGATCGACTATACAAGCCAGATCTCCCGCATAGTGAGGGAAATGATTACAGGGACTATGGGCTTGAAGGGCTGGAAAAGCGCCTTGATCGTGAAACAGATGAACCTGTCGTTCACTATGGTATTATCGCCTCGGCCAATGCTATGATGAGGTCTGTCGTGTACCGGAATTATCTGAGAGACGCTTGGGGCGTGTGCTGTTTTGAAACAGAGGCCGCGGGGCTTATGAATGACCTTCCGTGTGTCGTCATCAGAGGAATTGCCAATTACTCCGACGGCCATAAGTACGATAATTGGCAGCGATATGCAGCAGTCACGGCAGCCGCGTATGCCAAAGATCTTCTGCGAGTCATGCCAGCTGAGGAGCCTAGCAGTACCGGAATCACTTCTCAAATTAGCGAAGACTGTGTGTCAAGGTATACTTATCGTCGGAAAACTATAAGCTAACACTGGGCAGTTTCGTGGGAATTGCGAGAAGTAGAAAAACGAGTCGCCAAACTTGATGATATGATAACCCACAACCATAATAAGACAACACTCGCATGGCTGAATGACTTTCCCTACGATATCGACAAAAGCTTTATCTTTGATGGGATTCACCCAGACACCGGCCAGTGGTTATTGAACTCGGACAAATTCCAGTCCTGGTACCAGGCCAAAGGGCAAACACTACTCTGTCTAGGCATTCCTGGCGCAGGAAAGACGGTCATGGCAGCTACCATCATTGAATATATTAATACACACCGGCATGATAACAATCTGAGTCACGCGCTTGGATATGTGTCCTTCAGCTTCAGATTTCCATCACAACAGAGAACCAGGAACATTGTTGCGTCAATTCTGAAGCAGCTTGCCCAACAAGACCGGCAAATGATGCAGGGTCTGCAGACTCTTTATGGTCGACATAGTACCAGGGGCTTGCAACCGTCAACACGCGAGATGGTCGAAATAAATTCTTTGTTCTATGAGTAGTGATAGGCAGGTATACGTTGTTATCGACGGGCTGGATGAGTTCCAAAGTCCTATGAAAGGACCGACGGAATTCCTATCGCAGCTTCTTCGCATTCAGGATGCTACTGGCCTAAATATACTCGCAACTTCACTGTTCGCCCCTGAGATTCAGAAGATGTTCAGGGAAAGGCATGGCTGTTGTTCTCTGGAGATACGTGCCACGGATGAAGATGTTCGAAGCTATATCCATGGGAATATCACTTCCCTACCGTCCTTTGTTACGCAGGATCAAGCAATGATGGACAGGATCTTGGAGGATATTCCCCGGGCTGCTAGCGGAATGTAAGTACCATTGGTCAGTGAATGGTTTGATTTCCGATGCTCATCTGACTGAACACGAACGCAGGTTTCATTTTGCAAAGCTGTGCCTCGATTCCTTGAGTGACCAAGTCTCACCCAAGCGGATGCACCAGGCATTAGCAGAACTGTCTAACAATCCAGAACTTCAAAAATTGGCGTACGAGAAGACTATGGAGCGTATCGAGGATCAATCACTAAACCTAAGAAATTTGGCCTTGGATGCCCTTTCATGGATCGTATGTGTCGGAAGGCCTCTGAGTATTCGTGAATTGCAACATGCATTAGCAATACAAACGGGCAGTCAGTCTCTTGATACGGAAGACGTTGTTGATGCCATATTGATAGTCTCTGTGTGCGCGGGGTTCGTCTCTGTGGACATGGAGAGCGAGGTTATCCATCTCGCCCATCATACTGCGCAGGGCTTTATAAACAATCGTTTGGAAGAATAGTTTCCAAATGCTCATCGGAGAATCGCCGAAACCTGCGTCACATATCTGTCCTGTGACTGGAATATGAGTCAGGACGCCGCAACTATAGTATCACAGCATCCCTTTTACCGCTATGCAGCTCAATATTGGGACTACCATTCTCGACTTGACCCAGTAGGTGATGAGCTTCTACTGCCACTTCTGATGTCAAAGGAAAAGGTGGCCATGTATGCACAGTACATGCGCCTCCTGGATAGCCGCTCTTTTGATATGAAGCTGGAAAAACCACAAGACATCACCGGGCTTCATTTGGCAGCTTACTTTGGGCTGATCAATATCGCCAAAGACCTTGTCAGGAACGGCGGCGATCTAAATGCAAAGGATAGCTGGGGAAGGAATGTTTTCGCGTGGGCCGCAGAATATGGGCGCAAGGAATTCTTCGAGTGTTTTTTACGACCATGTTCGTTTATGGCACCAAAAGGACAAGTTTGGTGTGACGCCTCTGCAACTGGCTTTATTGAATAGCCAGACAGATGTTGCAAAGATACTTGAGAATCGGCATGTTGGCCCTGAACAAGAGAAAATCACAACTCCCGAGGATGAACTGATGTGCGAAGTTCCGATGGGCAATCAAGTCTCCGTTGAAGCTCTTCTATGCCAAGGACCCGCCGAATTGCCAACAGGGTAGGCGTACACCGTTACACATGGCAATTGTTGGCGGTCATCTTGCAGTGGGGCAAGCCCTCCTAGAGAAGGGCGCCGATCCAAACATGGTTGATTGGTACGGACGGACCCCCTTACATTATGCAGCCGGAAGGGGAAGAGAAGAATTTGTGAAGCTACTCCTGGACTACGGTGTCGACATTAATCTCAAAGACAACAACGGTGCTACTCCTTTTATAACGGCCGTGGCTGGAAGACATGACTTGATAGTTCGGCTTCTCTTAAACTACAAACCTCAGCTTGACTCACAAGACAATTTTGGAGAAACAGCATTGATCTGTGCAGTCAGGCGTGGCTCCGATGAGGCGTTGAGTCTACTGCTACGAAATGGCTCCAATTTAAACATCCAATGCAGAAAGGGTATGACCGCTTTGATTCGTGCAGCTCTTGTGAGAGATGTGAAAAAGCCCGTCTCTTGCTGGCAGCTAAGCCGCAGATTGACATCCGCAATGAGACAGGCGCCACGGCTTTGATTTGCGCATCCCGGAAAGGGTGCTACAAGATCGTTGATGCACTAATTCAGAATGGAGCCCATCTGGACATTGAAGACAATGACGGTCAGACGGCTCTGCTCTTCGCTATGCAATACAATCACGAGGCAGTAACGGCTTTGCTGATACAAAGTGAGGCAAACGTCGAGGCAGCCACAGATAAAGACGGATGGTTCCCGCTATATCATGCTGTTGATAGATGTTGGAGTAATATCGTTCGTCAACTAGTAGCAAAGGGCGCAGACGTGAACCGCCAGGATGTGGATGGCAAAACAGCCCTGATTTATGGCTGTAGCTACAGTAGAAGCACTGATTGCATTCGTTCCCTTCTGGAACTTAGCGCTCAACTCGACATTCAGGATGACTGGGGAAGAACTGCTTTGATGTGTGCAGCTCAATCGTGCTACGACGAGATGGTCAGTATCCTATTAGAAAGCGGCGCTGACTGGAAGGTTCGCGATAATGAGGGACGGACGGCCTTGTTTTATGCACACACAAAGTGCGACTCGTTTCTTGAACGGCAGGACAAACGTGACAGAATAATCCAGGCGTTGCTGCCTTATGAAAAATATCTTGATGGGACGGAAGCGGGAAAGGAGGCAGCTCAGTCTGATGATGACACAGCCTGCGAAGACCAGGTTTTATCTTGAAGTGAATAAACGAGTTACTCCCTCTAGATTCAACGATTGAAATCAAGGATTGCTGCTTATCACGGCTGAAGCAGAGTGTCTAGCAATGTAATGAACAAGCGCTATTTGTGATGGGCAATAATCTCGCTCAACATAATCCCCAGTCGCTTTTGAAACCCGATTCCTTCGACTCTCCCTCTCACCTTAACCACTGTCAATGGGTACTCATCCCCATCAAACCCCACGCCCACCTCTGGTCTCTTATACACTCCGTCTCTGCTAGAATCATCTGATAACCCACCATTCCCTGGTTTAAGATAGCTTGAATTCCCCTGTCCTTGAGACGACTGCTTTCTGCTGAACACTCCCGGAAACAGAGCCCTTGCCAGCGGACGCAGGGTTGGGATACAAGCAGAGATAATCCCCGAAGATACTTCAATAACGCACCATGCGTTGGATCGGCCCAGTGTGTCTGCGATTCATCAGCACACTACTTGGGGCTAGCCAAGGAATAGACGGGCCAATGTACATGTTAAGTCATCAAAGTCGACATCGACTAGCGTAATGATGCGATATATGCTCGTGAAAACCACACTATGTGAGCATCGTTAGTACAAAACCAATACACTCTCAATAACAACAAGACGAAGAAGTATGGACTGAAGAAAAAAAAAAACCACTTACAAGCCCCCCAAAGAAATCATCCCTACCGCCCTAATTCTAACCCCCCACCCAGCCTGCACTTTCCATACTCTGCCGATCAAAAGCCCCAGAATGACCACATCGGTGATAGCATTCACAACATCATTCGCAATGAATGTATCCTTTAGATTAATGCACCGTCCCGGGTGGGATTTGTCCCATGCCCGAGAGACAGGAATACATTGGAAGATGGAGGCAATAATGAGAGATACTGCTCTGATGACCGTGATCGCTCCCAGAACGTACACGGCTATGCGTGTGGGCTGATGGATGTGGAAGATCCGGTGATACATTGCTAGGATGGAGGTTTTGGTGAGGATTAGGGAGGTACAGTAGAATACTTCTGCGGGGAGTAGGAGCTGCTATTGTATCAGGATGGCTTTCTTGATAGGGAATATGAAGGGATAGGGCTTACTTTGTTGATGGTTATGATATCATCTATGGGGATTGTGGATTGGTGTAGGCTAAGGCCGTATTTTACCACTATTGTGTTCTAGTATTATTCCAAGATAAAAAAATAAAGGAGAAATTGTTGTGAAGAGGTAACCTACTCACTAAGTCGAGTACAAAAATGACGAATAAGTTAAACTACGTTTCATCGTTAAAATGGACTCTGCGTATGGTGGAGGATAACATACCAACGCAGCCACAATCAGCGCATCCTCTAACCCCAGAGGCACCTTTCCCAAATGCCTCGAGGAAAATCGCAATCCCACGAAGACAACGCCCAGCACCGTAATAGATATTGAAGCATCACGGTTGTAGCGCTGCCAGCTACCTGAATCGGCCATGGTCGCTAGCTGGGTCGTATGAAAGAGCGTACTAAGAAGGCCGGAAGCATTGATAATAAATGTCCAACTTGCGTCATGTTATATTTGGAATATTCGCGGGGATGTGAGGACATTTGGGGGCTGAGAGGTCGTATGTTATAAGCCCTAGTCTGCCTTGTATGGGCAGAGCTGCCGCTGGATTGATGCAGGGGGCAGCGTTAATACTTGAGTCTAATTGAGTCAATACCTGACTTTTCACACTCTAAGCTTGTTAAGGTAAGGTCTTCCAAGGTGCAGTTTTTGAGCGACTACCCTGAATGGATAATGAGTGGCTTTTGGCCCCATGTGGCTTATGCAGTGAGATTTAAGTTGTTTGAGGGACTGCAGAATGGAATTTGGGTCAGTGCACGGGTATTTGCAGTCGGGAACACGCCGATCATCAATTAAGAAAATTCATGGTTTGCTCATCCGGGGGTATAGGAACAAAACAGAATAAGGTAGTTATCATCCTAAGCACTGACTGAAGACCCAGTGAAACATATAGATAACCCTTACCCATCAACCCCGCATCCTCAACCACCTCATCATTCATTCAAGGCATAAGGTCATACTGTTTGCCCGTCGTGGTAGCAGAGAAATAGCTCGGTCGGTTTCTCACACAGCACTCGATCGTGGGCTTAAACAATTCCAGGCTGGTAATATCATCATTAGTACGCATGTCGCTCGATCATGAAGAGGAAGGATAGTCATTTTACATACCCATTTTCGATCAGAGCTGTTCTTACAACTATCTCCTCATCCCCATTAGTCGCCGGCATCGTGTATATAGTGCACCCGCAGCCGCTGCAGAAACACTTGACTTTTGACCGTCCACTCAGGGTATTATTGACGATGTAGCGTTTGGCAAGTCGCTCAGGATCGTGAAGTGTGAAGTTTGGTGTGAAGTATGTCGCGGTCTTCAGCATAGTAACTATGTTATCAGTATATATCATGTGATGCTGAATATTTCCGGGAGAATGGAGGGAAAGAGTTTATACGCACGATCTGACAAGGCCCCCCAGCTCCGAGAGCACAATCACCACAATAGCAGCAGAAAACTGCATTTGGATTGCCTTTCACTGTGAAACAGACTCCTTTGCATAGGCACCTCCCGGTGTATGTCGAACATTGGGCCTTTCCGTAGATGGGCATAGTATCAGACATTTTGTTTAGAAAAGTAGTCAATGTCCCGGTCTATACCACATTTGAATCATCCCATATTAATGGCTCAATATGCGCATATTCAGCCTATATCTGATCAAAGTATCCCCGCCTTTTACCATCGGCTGTATACAGATAATACCGGGTCTCGGTAGCCCTCGGATGACTGATAGTGAGTGATCTATTAGAAATCTGGGTCGGCGATCGACGGGCGACTGGACCTTGTCGGCTCGGACCGTGAGCCGTAGAAGGAAGGATTCCCTATGTGTCGAAGGTCCAGGATCGGATGCAGTATCATCATCCCGTTCGTCCATATTGTAACTATTATTAATATGATGCTCAGAGAATCCGAGGTCATGAGAGACTTTATCCTTGAGCAGCCTCAACCATCCCAAAGCCGAAGCTTCCGAGTATCCGAGAGTCTGAGATATAAACCTACTACTATGAGAGCTCGCTTGAACCTAACTCTCTACCTACAAACAGTCAAAAATCCAAGTCCATTTTACTGCACATCACTAAAATGACCGACCTCAAGATCTCCAAAATCGACGTCTTCCAAGTCGACCTCCCCTACTCCCACGGGACCTATCATCTCTCCGGCAATCGCGCCATCACCCGCTTCGACGCCACCTTCGTCCGCATCACCACCAACACCGGCCTTGAAGGCTGGGGCGAAAGCAGCCCCTTCGACAACTACATCGCGTCCCACGCTGGCGGTATTCGCGCCGCCATTGCCGAGATCGCCCCTAAGCTTATCGGTCTTGACCCCCGCCGAGTCGACCGCCTCAACGACGCCATGGACGCTGCCCTGCTAGGCAACGAGCCAGCCAAATCCGCCCTCGACATTGCCTGCTGGGACATCTTCGGCAGATCTGTCGGACTGCCGGTGTGTGAGTTGCTCGGTGGACGGACAGAGACGAAGCTCCCTGTTTTAGAGTCGATCCCTGTTGCGGACCCCGAGGGGACGCGCAAGCATGTTTCTGATGCCAGGGCAATGGGATTCACGGGTTTTTCGGTGAAGATTGGTTCGGACCCTGTGGCCAATGCTGCAAGGGTGAAAGCTGCTCTGGCTGATAAGAAACCGGGGGAGTTCTTCCTAATTGATGCTAATGGCGGGATGACTGTTGATACTGCGCTGCGGATGTTCAGGTTACTTCCTAGGGGATTGGATTTCGTTCTCGAAGCGCCATGCGCTACGTACAGGGAGAGCGTGTCACTTCGACGTCGGATCGACGTGCCGATCATTTTTGATGAGTTGGCGAATAACGAGAGCTCGATTGTGCAGTTCGTTGCGGATGATGCTGTTGACGGGATCGGACTAAAGATATCCAAGACGGGTGGGTTGACGAGAGGTCGCAGGGTTAGGGATATTTGTCTTGCGGCGGGGTATACTATGTCTGTTCAGGATACGAGTGGCTCGGATGTGGCGTTTGCGGCCATTGTGCATCTGGGACAGACTATTCCGGAGCAATATTTGAGATGTATCTTGGAGTGTAGGGCTATGTGTGTTGGGAAGACGGCGGATGGGCCGTTTGATGTCCATGAGGGAGTGCTTACGGCGCCGACTTGTCCGGGATTGGGGGTTACGCCGAGGATGGAGGTGTTGGGGAAGCCGGTTGCTACTTTTGTTTGAGAATATTCCTCTTCTGCTATCTTTGAATGGACTGGGTATGTTTCTTTGGGTATGATGGGTAGCAGGATGTTACGTGGGTTAACGTTGTTACGTGAGGCTATGACGTATGACGCATGATTTTATTTTGCATGGCACTTCTTGTGAAGGAAGATGTACTAGGTTCCTCAAAATCCCTTGCTGCATACAACAGGGGGACTACACATGAGGTACATCTTCGGGTACCTTCCGAGACAGCGTCGGGGTCCTCACCCGACATCCGACCTAGGCAATCATGCTCTACAGGTTCCAGCATATTACCGCCACCTGAGTTTGAACTATCACTTCGGTTCATGTATGAAATGTGCATGAGTATCATAAAAGTGCTCCCTCTGTGTGCAGATTGAGAGGTTTATTCCTTCTTCTTTATATATATACTGAAGGCCTTTGGCAAGCCTTCATACTCAAACGCAGCACTGGCATATACAAGGAAGACCACCATATCGCTCTCTGGAACATTACTACATCGAAATTCATTTTTTCCACACACCCAACTCACGACCAACAATTGACCAATCCACAACCAACTCACGACGAACCCACTCCTCTACCCACACATTCATCCATTCCGGCTTCACTGCATCCACAGCCCGCAACTTCTCGCTGACCTGTCCCGTCAACCTTGTATCCAGCACATTCACTCGCTCAGTCTGCGACATAATCCCTTCAAAGAATTCCAACAACTTTGCAGCTGGATTTTTGGCCAATCGTTTCTGCAGCTCTTCGTCACTCATCTTCTCGCCGGTATCACCAGCCATCTCCAGATCCTGCCGGACGCGCTGCACCCACTCGGTAAAGGAGACAGTCTTGATAGTCTTTCTTGAAACCTTAAAGATAGCTTCGGCGACTACTGGACGAATTGCCTCCCAGTCTACCGGGTGCAGGTTCACTGGGTGATATACCTGGACAGATCCGGGTTCCCCGCGTCGACAAGCCACTGCCAAGTCCACTAGGACTTCAGCAAGCAGATCAACCGGTACCCAGTTGATGCGATGGAGGGCCGGTCCGAGCGTATCAGGCAAAACACCCAGGTGATAAGAGCTGAGGACGAGGCTCGGAAACCATTCGGTCTTGTTCCATACTCCCTTTGAGCGGACCGGCCCTGCTATCTGACCGACACGTACGAACGAGGCGTGCAGTCGACCCTGACGAGCCGCTTGCGCTAGTAACTGTTCTGCAAGGTACTTGCTATCTGCGTAGCCGTTGGGTCCGGGGGTTGTAGTTGTGATCACCTCTTCCGGGGTTAGGCCGGTTTTTGTGTAGTAGCCCATAGTGGAGCTAATGGATGATATGAAGAAGAGATGGGGTGACTGATGTGATTGGGTAGCGAAGTTGATCAAGTTTACCACACCGGTGAGGTTTGGCTTGAAGGATGACAGGCTGAGGTTGAAATTTACTGCCCAGGCGTTGTGGATGATTAGAGTGGCAATGTTCCCCAAGGTTTTGAAGACATCAGGTCCCAGGCCTAGGTCCGGCTGGGAAAGGTCCGCAGTCCAGAAGCTCGCTCGAGACAGATCGGTTTTCATTCCGCCATGTTTTACGCGGTGGCTTTCCCCTGCATAGGGTGTGCGGTTGAGACAATGCACGTAGGCAACGGAAGGGGACTGTAGGAGAGTATCGAGAAGATAGCTTCCCAGGTTACCGGTCGAGCCGGTCAAAATGACCACATGGGACTTGGGCGCTTGAAACTGGCTACTGAGCTCCTGTAGTAGTTCTTCCCGCTGCTGCAGCTGGGCTTCTTTTCGCTCCTCAGCAGAAGCCTCCTCATGTTGCTGCAGGTGAAGCACTGCCTGGGTGAGCTCATCCACAGAGGGATGGAGATAAATCAGGTTTGGAGTGAGTGTTGGGAGATCAAGACCCTTCTTGAAGGCCCGAGTGGCGGTGATAGCCTGCAGGGAGTCAAGGCCCAGCTCGAAGAAATTTTGGTTATCTGTGAGATCCCACCCAGTGACGTAGTTGATTGTTCTTCTAATGTAACCCGAAAGGACTTTCGGATCGTCCACCTGGCCAGGTCCAGCAGGTTCACCGTTACTGGCTGTCTGCGATAGTTTGTCCGCATCGGTATACAAGGCATCCAATTCCGAGGTGTACAGTTCGAGTGAGGCAGCTCGCTGGATAGTTCCCTTTCCGGCGCGAAGCATCGGCTTGTCTGGCTTTGTGAACATAATGTGGGTTTTGGCCACGCGTGCATGCGCTGGACAAACTGCGTTGGCTTGTTCGATACTTGGCCAGAGTTTCTCAATCATCGCGGCGCGCTCAGGTGCACTGAGTTCCTTGCCTCCAATTTCAACTAATAGAGATGCTTGGAAGCGACGTGCCCCAGCCACTAGAACTGCGTTAACTTCTGGATTGGATGCAGCGATGTGTTGTTCCATAGACACAGGATTTGTTTTCTCGCCGTTCAGAAAGACAACCACGTCATCTGCACGAGCGGCCCATCGCCACAGGTCCGGCTTACTGGGGTCCGGGTGCCGCACGAAGAGGTCTTTGGTGTGGTACTCCTTCTGATCTGGAAAGACTGTGAAGGTAAGCTGGTGCTTCTCAGTCTTCGGGCTTCGGACAATCACGAGTTCGTAGTACTGATCGGCGACGTGACGGAGCTCAGCTCCCATTCGGGGGTTGATGTGAAGATATCTCCAGTCTGTGCGAGGATCTCGGTTTATTCTGGAATAAATAGTGCTGATCATGCCCACTTCGGACGCTCCGTATAGATTCATGAGTTTGATCTTAGATGCTACGGCGTCCCCAATCGGCTGGGGAAGATCTCCACCACAGTAAACCAAGCGTTCAAGGTGCTTGCTGCAGTAGTCCAAAAGCTCCGGGCTCTGGGAGAATTCTTGGATGATGGAAGGAACACCCAAGAGAACATCAATCTGAGTCTTCTTTCTTGCCTCTACAAGGGAGGCGGCGGTAGGAAGACCGCCAGATGCCGGAAAGATGACGGTAGTGCCGACTGGAATGGTAATGAAAAGCGAATATGCCAGACCCGCAGCCTATGACGTTATTAGCTTCCTATATTTTCTGCAAATATGCAACACAGACTTACATGGAATGGTGGCGGAACGAGGAATATCCGCTTGCCAAAGAGCCAGCTATCCTGGCTCTCATGGCCCCTTGGGGGATCCAGAACCGTCGTATGCATATGCTTGCACGCGGTGTCATGGGTCCAGAAGATCGGCTTTGGAATTCCTGTGGAGCCAGATGTATGACTGAAGAGTTAGTCTTCGATCACTGCACAAACAATCAGGGACGTACATTACGGCGAGAACCTCCCCTGCAGCTTCCGGGTGAGTCTTAGAGAATTCAAAATGGGCATATTCTTTGCTTATCAGCTCATCGACACTAGGCACCTCCAGTATATCCAGCGTTTGTCCTTCCAGGATGGCCTTCACTGGCGGTGGATGGGGCACTGGGGTGACTAGCTTAGTGCAACTGAGGCGATTGAACAGGCTACTATGAGCAGCCACGCTATTCCTTGGGGAGGTGAGAAACATCTTCGAGGATACAGTGTCAGCTTGATTATTCCCATGTTTTGATTGAAAGTCACATACGCGATATCCTGCCTTCACAGCACCCATTACCAAGGCCGGGTACCGCAGGTCATTAGGTCCCACGTAAGCGAGGGTTTCACCGTCACCGGGTCCCAGCTTCTCCGTTAGCCACCAGGCAATGCCGTTAATGGCATTTGCAAATGCTTTGAATGTGATGGGCCGGTATCCATCATCATAGCTCATCAGAGAGACTGGGTATGCAGCATAGGTGGCGTCGGGTTTGACCTTGGCGTAGTGGTCAACGATGTGAGGGAGCAGCTGCGTCCGCGGATCAAACTGAGAGGCATCTTGGACAGTCATGGTCAAAACCACTTTTGGTTAGCAGTGTATTTGAGATCTAATTGAGGTGCGCAGCTTGTAGTGTTTATATAGTGTTGTTGAGTGAAAGAGTAGTCGGCTTAGCTGGGACCATGTGGCCGAGGGGCCCGCACCTGCTTCAACCCAAGCAAGCAGGACCAGCTTATGCTTAGCGGAGCATACCGACTAGAATAAGTGGAACCTAGGTGGGCTTCGGATAACCAGTGGAGCTGCACGTAGGAAGGTTTGTGGAGTACTTTGTACCCCTCTGGTATGTGGGGTGGAGATAGATAATGGCAGGCCAACGGTGTGAGGATATATCAACAGAACCAATAAGCTGTAGCCCCATTAAGCTCGACAGCCTCATCGGATCATATCTGCCCCATTGAGCGAAGGAATAAGTGATATGGCATTTGGGGGCCAATCTGGTCAGTCAGCGCTAGCAATAAAGCCAAACGGCTGAGTGGTAATGATCCAAACTTAGGCTCTGCTCTAACCACATCAATCAAGCCCTAGTCGCCCGAAGAGCCGCTAAAAGTGGATTTTGAGCCGATTCCTATGTCTTTTGTAGCCTTGCGAAACTTGACGCAAATACGATTGGATCGTTCGCCTGGTTCAAGTTGACCAACATCTCCATTTCTTCTTTGGGGTTAGTTATGAACAGCAAGGTGGGTAGCGTGCCCCGTCCAGCTCGGTCGGAGATGGGACTCATCCCGCGATGAGTCTCTGCAGAGGAAATCGATGCATGCACTTCACATCCAATGTCTCTTCTCAATAATGTCTCAACCCATAGAAAACATATATTCTTGTCCAATAATTAAGCATTAGAAGGTGGAAAATATATATCGACGGTAATATACAGTCTGGAAATATGAAGAAAGGTCCAAATCAATGCACCGAAAAGTGATGCTCCACCACAATCTGCCCCGGTTTGATATCTGCACCTGAACGACTGCCCAAGGTCACCATACGCAAGACATCTTCCTCACTTCTCGACGCCTCCATCCACGGAAACTTCGATTCATTATGCGTGGACCCGAGGCCCGGTCGCAGTTGGCTGGCCCTGTGGCCCGTTCCGGTATGCAGAGATTCGCCCGTCTGACTGCGCTTCCTCAGAACGCGACGCCAAAGAAATTTCGTTAGCGGCCGATAGGTAGGCAAACAGGCTGCTATGAGGTAAATACCACCCTCAATCTCAGCCCAGACCACCAGTGTCGAGGCCGCCCAGGTTACATCCCCTTGGACGTCAGTCACGTAGAATTCTCGGAATCGGATAATGGAAGAAACCATGCCCCTATTGTTTGGGCAAAGTTAGTGTCTCTCTCTTCAGAATTAGGATAATCCAAGAAGGAGAAAGAAATGTCTAGACATACACACTACCCATCAGGAAAGTTACCCAAATACCCAGTTTGAGGCGACTCGAGGCATGCAGATTCCAAACCACCGGCATCGGCAATATCAACATGACGACATCCGTCAATATGTGCGCGAATCCTCCCCAGCGCAGCCACGCATTAATGTCAATGTAGCTTCCGTGGAACGTCCAGTAGTAGCTTAGTGGTCGGCAGGAAACAACACCAGCGATAGTGACCACAAGCCAATTGATGATGATGACTGCTCCGGTGCCGTAGCATATCTTTCGGAGCATTTTATCGGTGAAAATGTTCAGATAGAGGTGCAGGATAGCCAATTTTGGAGGTACGACGGTGGCGAAGTAGAGGAGCGGAGTGGTGATGAGGAACTTGGTCGCCGTCACCAGCATCTCAGGATCGATCTGGCGGACGATTTCTTGATGCAGGCCGATTCCGCCGTAGATCACGGCAGCTGTCGGGGAGTGTGAGTTAGGTTCGTCATCTGACTAGGAGACTAGGATATCAAGGCCTACCTATTGTGCAGCTCGCATCGGCAATGCAGAGGATAAGGCCCATAACCATGAGAGCATCATCCCAGCCGAACTTCAGCCGTTCAACAAATTTAGAAGTAAAGCGCAGAACCACGCATACACTTCCAGGACTATAAACACAATTGAAACGGTGATGATTAGATGTTGTTTGGATTGATGAAACTGCTCTTCCGAATACTCGTCCATGCTGGCGAACTTGCGAGACAACAACCACACCTCAGTGGAAGTAAGGGATATTGAAGGCTGAACATTCAGTGTATCGCACTAACTGGGTGGTAGGAAATATTATGAGAATCGTCGCTCGGTCTTTGAAATCCGGTTAAGTCGCTCTCGCTCATCTTCATATAAGCTCGGCGAGGTCCGTATACTCCACACGGAATAACCATCCCCTGCCACTCGGGACAAGCGACTCGCAAATAGGGGTTGGAAAATAAAGCGACTCCCCGTAGAGAGCTATAAAGAGAACCCCAAGAACTGGTGGCAAGTGCACTCGGCAAGCATAATGAGAGCGGGTCTCCTGCATCTAAACAGTAGTAGGAATGTTGATCTGATCGCTCTGCAGCTTCAGACACGCCACATCTTTACTTTGCAGCCTATAGCTAAGCCAATAGGCCTTGGAGTGGGCCATTTCGTCTTTCGGAGAAATCTGATCTCGATTGCCCAACCGAGGACTAGCGCTAGACTATTGAATCTAGTAAGCCGCAAGAGTAGACAAAGCGTGGTAAGCATAGTCTGTTCAGTCTGGACGTAGAAGATTTCCGGTTCCGTTATAATACTACTAGTCAGGGATCACAGTAATGACAGGTAGATTAGTACACGTTTAAGATGAGTGGATGCCGACTTCTCAGTTCATTTGGGAGCAAGAACAGAACCCATAGCTTAACGGTAGAGCCTCGTTTGCCAAGGTTGAAGCCCTACTCCATCAAGCGCGGCCAAGATGCTTGTTCTTTGTTTCCGTATAGGGAAACAACACTCAGGAGAGTTCTCGGCACTCTCTTTGATCCTGCAGCGCCGAATACAGCCATGGCCTGAATCTTCTATATACTTTCTGATCACTATCCTAGAGCTATTCCCGTCTCTCTGGGGTAAACTTTATTTGGCGAACACCGGCACACACTTGAGGTTTACCTTGGGGTATCTACTATCTTTCGACGAATACGTAGAGTTTAGATAATATAGTATTATCATTTTCCATTCATATATAACATAGGTATCAGCCAGTGAGGCCAAAAATAAAATAGTCATCATGATAGTATTACCTTTCACATTTCTGTAGTGTCAGACCAATCGTGCGGATAAAATACCGAATCCGGACACATGTACTTCTCAATCTACTGCTATTTGAATGCTCATGTCAATAGTGAGTACATATTGACATATGCACCACTATGAACACTTTCTAGTACCAGCAAAGCCTCAACAGCAGGTCCTAGCACTTCACAATATAGTTCTCTTTCGATAGTTCGCTGGATGATTGGCATTCGGAATCATGGTTACTTCCCTGTAAACGCTAGGGTTTACTAATGAGGAACCACAAAAAACACTTTAGGACTTTATAAAGTAGGGACTGCTGTTCACTAAACTTCCACTAATGCTTGGCCTCCAAACATTCAGCCTAACGATACCAACCACAGCATGTTTGCCAGCTGTTCACCACCAATACTAACTATTCTGACTTTAATGCATGTTGTCTATGGACCCATGATTCGGACCTGCTCTGAGAAATTTCCGACCACAACTCACACCGTGTTATCAAGTCTGTCCAACCCCAACATCCAAACCATGAGCAGATCCATCCGAAGATTGTCCACCCACACCAGCACCCTCACTCCCCCCTTTCACCTCATTAGTCGGCGCCGTACCCAACGCCCTAATCTCCTCCCGCAGCGCATCTAGACGACAGGACACGATTTCATCACTCCTATCATCATAAACAAGATCAAGGTCCTCGTAATCGAGATCAAAAGAAACCGCCCCACCCGTCAAGCGCACTCTCGTCGTCAAAGCAATAGTGGTAGCAATATGCATGACTTCTCTGACACGGACGATATAACATCCTTCTCTGCGTTTGCCTATATCCCACACTATGGCATCTTGGTCCTCCCGTAGTGGCAAAGTAAGATCGAAAATGATCTTAGCGAAAGGGGGCAGTTTCATCATCTCCTGCCTCCATAACTTGGAGAGGGGTTGCAAATCGAGATTTCGTTCTTCAGGCTCAACCATAGACTTGTAACCATCAGTGTGAGTGGACGGTGACTGGGTGCATAATTCGAGGATGTCGGCTTTTTCGAGTGGGCGTAATAGGGGTAGTCTTGCTTCGCGCAGGGAAGGGGGTGGTTTTTGGTTAGGTTGTAGTTCGGATAGGTCTTCGCTGATGCAGAATTCGTGGGGCACTGAGGAGGGGAACATGGACTCTGCTGCTGGCATTTTTTGAGCTCTTGGTGAGATATAGTCAGGGAGTAGTTGAGTTGAGCTGAGGATGTGGTGGGAAGAGTTGGATAATTCTGATGGGGAAAGCGCGACTGGTGTTTATTTATGTGGCTGAGAATGACTGTATTCACTAACAATCTCGAGGGAAGTCTACGGGATACCCTTAACGGGTATTATTCATTGCAGCTGCTATTCACTTACCGCATGGTACTCTTTAGAGCGTCATCGTGAAGTCGCAGCGCCGACTTTGAGACATTCCTGACAAATACAAGCCTATTGCTGTTATCTCATAATACTTGAACACAGTTTGGAAACATACAGCAAGCAGCAACCATAAGGACTGCACCTAAGAGGCTGAGGAAGACACAAACGCCGAGGTAAACTCCCGTCCTCTCCATTACTTCCGCGTAATCACTGGGGAGATAACCGCATGGCCTTGGCGGAGTCTACGGTCAGTCGAACCAATCTATTTCCATCCCTCCATACGGTAGTGAACATCGTTCTGTCTTATACTATAAAAAAAAGTTTTCACCGGTAGAGATATGGAGCCGACGCTCTTCCCTTCATCACACTAAATTAGATGGACATGATCTGCTGTTCAAAACGTCTACCTTGTACGCTCAAGATAAGGGTACATCTAGTCAAGCCTTGATCCTAAGTCGCGACATGA